GAGTCTCATTAGCCCAGACAGACCTCAAACTCAGTATATAGCCAAAAATGACCTTGAACTGGATTCTCCTGCTACCACTTCCCAAGAACTGGGATTCCAAGCAGGCACCACTACCCTGATTCAAATCTAGGAACTTAAGAACCATTTGGTCTTAACAATTGTAGGCAAACAAGACTCTTCATTTTTCAGTGAGCGGTGGTCACACAGGTAAGTTTTTTGCATTCTCTGATGACTGTCTCTCTCTTCAGGGGCTGGGTCAGATACATCACCAAATAATAAAGTTAAATTACTACCGCCCACTTTTTTCAGCACATGCTGTGCTCATTAGAACGGCATTCACACACAGAATAGCACCAGCCTTACAAAAACACAATACAACAGCATGGTTTAACCCTCCTTAAATAAAAGCACACAGATGTGAATCTCAGACCGGGTCCATTAGAACTCTAGAAAGAAAAAAAGGAATCTCCTGAATATATTGAAGCTCTTTTCTCTCCACAAATGCAGAAAAGATTAAGCAAGCAACAGTCACATAGCTTACTGCTTTAAACATATGGCTTAGCCCTTAAGAAATGTTACTCTACTGTTTGGAGACAATTTTCTAGCAACAATGAAAACACTATTTTTTCTGAACTGCACATTAATCTTTGCCTTTTCAATGTCATCATCAAAAAACATAAATGTCAGTTTAGAAAGCATCAACCTTTCCCCCAAATACAAATGATTCACACAGTGTTCATTTCATAACGGATGTGAGCTGAGTACCACGAAAACAAATAAAACCACTACGGTTACAAATCCAGAAAAAAAGGATGGAGGACGAAAACAGAAAGAGAACACCAGCTCATTGTTTGCCCTAACAGGATCCAACAGGATGAGTAGGAACACCCCTTTATTCCGTCTGTGGTTCACCATCAGGGCCAAATCCCAAAGGTGGGGGTGAGGGCAGAAAACACAGCATGGCAGCCTTCATGTATCTGTACCCAGAACTGGTGCCTGTCTTTCATTGCTATGGTCAGTTTCCCTGTGATACCGACGCTAGCCAGCTTCCGTGGCCCAACTGTCAAGCCTATTTGCTCTTTCCTCATCCATCCTAAAAAAACAGCAAGCTCTTCGGGGTAAATTTTCCCCCACTACATAGCTAACATCACCCATGAACAACTTTTCCCAACACTCACTGGACTCGAGTTATTTTCACTTTAGTTTTAACACCATCTCACATCTCTAGCCTCATCCTCAGCAAAGCACTGCTTACCTTTCCCAGACAGCTCATCCCCACTGGACGACCCCCAAACCCCAGTTACTGTCACCAACAGACTTCTAGGCCCTGGCAAGAGCTCTCTTTGGCTGCACCGACTGATATAACTAAAAGGTATCCGCTTCCGATCCCAAATCCCTACTCTTGAACTCAGTGTCCTCTTACTTCGGTAGATTCTAAATTTACTATGATTATGAGCCTAATTTCGATCCATTTCTTATACAAGCCTGAGTCTTTCTCCCTGGTTACAAGACACCCCAGTCCTGTCAGGTGTACGCTAGACAGCTGGCCCATCTCTGTCCCCAAACAGACCTCCAGGGTCGCCCTTCCCGCCGTCCTCCAGCCTTCCTCCCCTCCACAGTCTCAAACTGTCCGGAGACCTCTGCACCCCCTAAGCCTGCCCCCGTGGCCCGTTGTCCCCTTCAAGAGCCCGCTGACCTCTCACCAGGTAACCCGGGTCCCCTCTCTCTGCAGGCCCCACCTACGGGTCCTGGATCCCCCAACACCTGCCACCAGGACACCCAGCCTGCAACGTTAAGGCATACGTAGCTCCTCTTCCCGAAAGTCACCGCATTTCTCGAGCCGTCCCCTTCCAAATACGCTCACCTGCGCTCTACAGGGAGACCCCCAAGTCACCCCCGCCTCCGCCATCTTCAGGGACCGGCCCCCGGACCTACTCCCCTCCCACAGCTCCGCCTGAGCCGCACTGCGCCTGCGCGGCCCGGGCTCCTCGCGGGGAAGCTAGGGGCAGAGGATCTTCCGGTTGCTGCGCCGCCAACTCCCAGCGCTCCTCGGAGACGGGGCATAAGGACTTCCGGTCTGCGTGCCACTCGGGGCTGGAAGGAGGCGGGGCCCTTATCTGGGCTGAGAGACTGCGGAAACGACTGTTGTTGGCGGACTCCGCAGTCAAAGGTTCTGACGGGCGCTTCGGCTCTGTGGGCGGAGTGAGGAAGTCGTGCACGGACGCACGCACTCACGCGCGGCCCGAGACTCCGCCCTCTGCGTGGGCCTCACTCGCAAGCGAAGTGGTGGGCTCTGCCGTCGCCTTCAACTTCCTCGGGCCCTGGAATCTGTCTCAATATCCTTTCTGAATACAGGTTAAAGGCAGCTGTTCTCCTCGCCCAGGCTCTATAGAGATTTGCACTAAAGAACAAGCAAATGAAACCTCATCATCTCTCTACTGTCAAAGTCATTATCTCCTTTGAATGAAAGAACATCCTCCTTTTGAGACGGAGTCGCACTATGTAGCCTTAGCTGGTCTAAAACCACCAAAGTAGACCAGGATGGCCTCACTGAGAGCTGCCTGCCTCTGCTTCCCCAGTGCTGGGATTAAAGGTGTGACCCACCACACCCAGCTAAACTTCCTTTCCAAACAGGAACCAATCTTTGGAGACTGCAAATGAACTTGTTTTGGATGAAAAATTATACAGGAAAATTCTGTTTTGTTTTATTCCTTGAGAATTCCGAGGACTTGAAGTTCGAGTGGGAAAGTGGAGGGTGGATCTGGGAGATGTGGGGAGTCAATATGATCAAAAAAAGTCCTCAAAAAAAAATCACATTTTAAAAAGGAAGTTTTCATGCCCGTTTGCAATGTATTTTGATCATACTCCCTACATCTCTTTACATTCTTCCGTAGAGTGTTTTTGAAAGCCAATACCAAAATCTGTCTTGATTATCTCTCCTCACTGGGCTGTTCCATGGATCACCTCTTTTGGGGGCCCAGCCAAAAATACATTTTGGATGCAGTCTGATTACATTGGTCTTAAGGAGAACTTTGTAGGAAATATGGGCAACTGCTACTGATTAGATGCCTTTGTTTTTTGTTTTGTTGTTGTTGTTGTTGTTGTTTTTCTTTGAACTGGCAAACAATCAGATGCACTTTTTAAAAACCTGTTTCTGACCCTTTTATCAACACATTTGTTTCTGAAAATTGGAAGAGAAATTAAACTTGGACCAGCAGTCTCAGCGTGTCTTAATATGACCTTTCTTGTATTTCTGTTTTTCCCTATCTCTTGCATTTAATTCCTGCAGGTTTTTAATGCATGGTAAATGAAGACCCAGGCTAATTGTGCTGCATAGATGAAGAATGTTATAAGGAAAAATAAACGCACACATGTGGTGGCTAATCGTCTTTGTCAACTTGACAGAATTTAGAATAGTCATGGGAACATCTCCAAGTGTGTGTAGAAGCAAGAGTTTCCAGAAAAGTTTAAAGAAAGAAGGAAAAAACACACTGCATGTGGGAAATACCATTCCTAGAAGTGGGATCCTGAGCTGAATGGAAAGGAGAAAGCTCCTGAGCGTGTGCACTCATCTATTTCCTTGCCGTATGTTCAGTATGACCTCACCCCTACCACCACGCCTTTCCTCTGGTGCTGACCTGTGTCCTCTCAAAATGTGAGCCTGGATAGACCCATCCTCCCGAAAATTCTTTTGCCAAGTCTAAATCCAAAATGAACTGATGTCAGGATATGAATTAAGAGGGCAGTGAAATCACACTTACTTTCGAAGACTCTGAAGTTCTGTGCTTCTGAGTTGTTGGTGGGTTTTTTCAAACCTCAACTGTATCACGGCACTGACTGCATGTATGTAGTCATGTCTAGTAATTCCATTTTCTAGGTTTTTCTTTTTATAACTATAGTGAAATAGTGATCCTGGTGGTTTTTAAAGTTCCTTTTTTCTTGGTTTTAATGTTTGTTTGTTTGTTTGCTTGGTCAGTCTGTTGGTTGGTTGGTTGGTTGGTTGGTGTTGAGGCAGGATTTCTCTGTGTGACAGCCCTGACTGTCTTGGAAGTTGCTTTGTAGACCAGGTTGGCCTTAAACTCACAGAGATTCACCTGCCTCTGTCTCTGGAGTGCTGGGATTAAAGGTGTGCATCACCATGCCTAGTTTTTAAAGTCCTCTTAACTGTTAGAAATATCAGTGATTTGATAATTCAGTTGGTCCCGACCCACTAATGTTGCATATTGTTTGTTCTTTCAGCTGAACAATTAGGCAAGCTAGAAAGAATAAAAACTTTGTTGCTAAATACAAGCAAACATCAGCAGAGGTCATTGAAGGGCGATACTTTAGATCTCACGTTAAACATTGTTTCTGGCTGAAGCTTCACTAAACCAGATTCTCAGATTCTGAGAACCCGACCCTGGGAACCTTACCCAAATTAAAAGCACCCAAACATTAAAAACAAAGAACATGGCCATTTTTCTATTCAGTAACTACTTCTATTCAGATCAAAGTCATCCTCAAACTTGCATGGCAAGCACTGTACTACCGAACCATCTCTACAGCCTTTAAATTCACTCTTACGTCATTTGTTCAAAACCCTTTTAAATTAGCTACCAGAGTAGTTCTTAACCCTGACTGTATATTAGGACCACCTGTAATTGATTGAAGTAATGTGTGTACTGTATATGACATCTTTCAAGGACCTGAGCTATACCCTGTACATATTCCAATTTAATTGGGTTGAAGGACAGACCTGGACTCTTCCAATAAAGTCCTTGTATAATCCTAGTATATTCCTAAAGAAATGCTAATGCAATCAAAATTCAGAAATACTGGCTCTAAGTTTGTCTGGCATCATTTGGCAATAGAAAAAGTAGCAGAGGAGGCAGCAATTCAACAGGCATCTGTTCAGTTCCAGTGCCTGTGTTCTTAGCCCCTCTGCACAGCCCTGTCAACTGCATACAGTAAGCAGCTGGAAACTCACTGAGGCACCAAAGTAAATGAGACAGGGGGCTTACCTTCAATAAATTCGTCTAGGGAAGCCGAGGTGTCAGTAAAGGAAGCCAGTTCAGCTCACATAAACAGACAGAGGCTAACTGAGAACTCCTCTGGAGATCAGACATGCCCTGTTTTAATCTAGATTGGTGTGGAAGGTGACCAATAGCAAGGCATGGAGGACGGCCGGATTGCAGATGTCAGCTGGGAGATGGTGCAAGCATTCACTGAGGCAATGGCAGAGGTCACAGAATTGGCAGTACTAACTGGCCACTGATGTGAAAAGTGACACAGAGAACTAAGTGGAAGCGGCTTCCAAGTTCTGAGCCAGAGACTCTCAGAGGAACAGCACTGTTGATTTCGATCAAGAGTTGAGAGTTTGAGTTTGGGGTTGAACGAGTTCAAAGGTGTTGAATGTTTAACTAGAAATGTCCTCTAGAGCACTGGAAATGTGAATCTGTAACTCAAGTGACCACATATGTTTAGAAATTAAGACCCTAAGATGGTTCAGTTGGTAAAGCATTAGACTTAAAGCATGAAGACCTGAGTTCCATCCCCAGAACCCACATATAAAGACAGGTGTGATGGCACATGCCTACAAACCCAACACTGGGAAGGTGGAGGCAGGTGGATGCCTAGGGCTTACTGGCCAGTCAGCCTAGCTAAATTACAGAGCTCCACACCAATTAAAGCCTATGCCTCAAAAGCAGCAATGTGGAAAGCACCTGAGAATGGTTGACACTTGAGGATATCTTCTAGCCTCTTCATACACCACACACACACGAGAGAGAGAGAGAGAGAGAGAGAGAGAGAGAGAGCGCTGTGGAATCACTGGCTTTAGTAGGTGGTTGAAGTCACACCTTACACCATTTGCATGCTACATACGATTCTTTTTTAAAGAAAAAGATATCAGAGATAGAGAAGAAAAATCATCTGAAGTTGCTATACTAGAATACTTCAATCTATTTGTAGTGACTTTAAACACAGTCAACTCATGATTACGCATAATGAGTTTTAATACTTCCCAAACTGATCCTGGGAACACTACAAATTTAGTAGATGATGCATAGCCATAGAGTACAAGCCAGTTTAAAATTCGCTTAATATTTAAGGATGCTGTGCAACGCATTGAGAAATATAATGGAAATGTCCCCCCACTGTCCTCTAGTGTTTCTACAAGAACGGCTTTTATAGTTTTGATTTAAACTATTTGGACTATAGTATTACTTAAACTTGCTGTAGTTACAATGTTATAAATTTAAGTTTAGATAGAAAAATCTTAGGCTTAAACTCATAAACACATAGACACTCTTCAGAGCACTTGCACAAAGGGCATAGATTAAAAGTAACATACACGACATTTTCATGATGTTGTACAGCATAAATATTGAAGTAACAGGTATGTCTAGATTCTTTGGAAATAAAAGGTGCTTCCAAGTGCCCTGTGGTGACTCGATCTCTCACCAGTCCCTCTATTAGACCCTTGTTTACACACTCTATCCAGCCATTATTTGGTCTTTGTTTAAAATGTGACAGTTTAAATTCCCTTAAAATAAAATATGGCAGCTACAGTTTTTCCCTTCACTTGGTTCATTTGTTCATTTGAGAAGAGGGCCTTGTTATATTATTCAGGCTGGCCTTAAACATGCAATTTCCTTGCCTCTGAGTGCTGGAAATGCTGGCACATGCATACCAGGCCTGTATAGATGTCGAGAAAACTGTGTGGCAATGTCTTGTTTCAGTTGGTTCTGTGTGATCTAGAGCGGCAAATATTTGAAGGTTATTGTGCTGTTCAAATCGCATCATTTCAAGATTGGCTTGAGAAATTGTGGAACATAGAGAAAATAGTGCTGCTCCCCAAAAAACTACAAAGGTCACTGCCTTAGTTACTTTTCAATTTTTAGTTATAAACTGATTGGACCATTGGCTAAAGCTTCTTATTAACTAATTCTTATAACTTACATTAGCCCATAATTCTTGTCTGAGTTAGCCACATGGCTTGGTACTTTTTCTGCGAGGCAGTCACATCTTGCTTCCTCTGAGGCTGGAAACTTAAACTTCCCTCTTTCCAGAATTCTCATTGCCCGGCCTATACTTTCTGCCTGGCTGGTGTGGGAGAATTGTCTGTATTCTGTCAATCATGTATTTTAATAA